TGAATCGAGAACTGACGGATTTGGTTCGGTTCTCAATTCTAGATTAAGAACCGAATAAGAACCAAAGTTTTTTTTACTGGATAAGTCAAATTATTTTATTTTTTTAAAACAAATTAACAATTTTTTGTTTTAACTATTTATTAGTTTTATTTTTAGTCTTTTTATCATTTCTTTTCTATTGTGGGTGTGTGTGTGTGTATATATATAAAGTATATAACCTAACACACACTCACAAAAGTTCAGATCGATCTTGGTATTTGTATCTACTTTTTGTTATTAGTATTAGTATATACTTTCGGATGTATTTATGTAGTGTTATTCTAAATGTTAAAAAATTTAATTATAGTACGGAACCGAACCGAACCGAACCGAACTGAATCGACCCGCGCCCAACCCTACCAACCTCTGAGGGAAAAGCTTCTTGATTTTACCACAACGTTCAATACACAACTCTTTGAGACAGGTAAATGTGCCAGGTGGAAGATGTACAACTGCTTCCCACTTGAAGAGACCAATTAAATTTGGCAATTCTCTCAGTAGCAACGTTTCAAGGCTTTGGAATGGGACCCCACTAAATTCTTCCCCTAACCTCATAATGCACTCTATTTTATCCTCCTCAAATATTTTGCATTCTCTAACAGAATTCGGAATTGGACATTCATCTAATAAGCAACCCCTCAAGCCACTGGCTTTAAAGAATAAATTCTCAATATCTTGTGGCAGCATAATCCCATCTGTGTCTAAAGAGGATTCCATGAGACTCTTTTTTCCAAAAATTAAATATTTACCGATTGGGAAACGGAAACGTAATGGGTCGTCGAATTCTAGAGAACTTAATGTAATGAAGTAGGAAAGGAATTGCTTGTCACTTTGTCGTGAGTTGATTAACCGATTGAGATCACATACGCTATTTAACCTGCATTGAAGTACTTCCAACTGTTTCAATGCCTCAACTTCTTCTATTGGCACTTCATGTTGGGAAATTGGAAATTTACGCCAATTTCCTTTCTTTCTATTGCCCGCAGGATCTTTTGTTGTTCAGAAAAATATCAGCAAACAAAGAAAAATAAATAATATAACACACAATTGGACCGTCAAAGCTTTTCCACTATATGAAAAGTTGTTAAAATCATATAGAATTTTCACTCACCAACCCGATCCCAAAGTATTACAGAGAAAAAAAAATACTTCAATAGCCTAGAACCCTTTTTCTTCTCTCCAAGCTATATTATTTTCTCTCAAGGATGGGATAACTAAAAGAGGAGAGGAGACATCTATTTATAGAGGCCAAAGGAGGTGGAAGAAAGCAGGTGGAAGTAGAGACTTCAATTCCAAATTTTCTTCCTTCCTTGACTTCTCAAATCTTAACCAAGAAGAAAGCATGCCAATTATCCTTTAAGCCACCAACATTGACTAAATGAGACAAATATCTAACAATCTCCACCTTGCCGAAAACTAGTCAAAATCTTGTCATCTCTTCTACAACTTTTAATCACAATACTTTGGAAAACCTGGTAAACCTTTGACACACTTTAACGGTCCCATACTCCACCATATGAGTATAACCACTCAGAATTATTCGCAAACTCCGAGCATTTCATCAGCTACATGTCGAAATAACCCCGCTGATAATTATGGTGCAACTCTCCTACTGACTTTTCAGAGAGCTCATCAGCCATCGACACTACAACATCACCACATACCTACACACATTGCATCAAATGTCAGTCAATGCTATGTTCAGATATGCTGACCCGTGCCAGTAATAACACATCCTCTATCATGGCAACTGACGACATGCCATGAGGATGTTCTCATATTACTTTACATCACATCCTCCTCCGCCAGGAGAGATGCATTGTTCGACCCCAAGCAGTTAGCCGACCCAGCTCTACTTTTTAGACAATTTCTCTTCACGTGACCAGCCTGACCGCAGTTCCAACAAGTTACTTTCTTCTTCATGGAGTTGCCCGTCTTCCACTTTTCAGTCACAAGCGTCATATTGTCAGAAGGAATATTCTGATCACCTAACCTCCTTTCTTCTGAGATTAATTTGCTTGTCACTTCTAAGAAACTCACAGTTTCCTTCCCATACATCAAGATTGGCTTGATGTGCTCATAGGTAGACGGAAGAGACCAGATGAGACGTAATACCTTATCCTCGTCATCTATCTTCACTCCAATAGACTCCAATTCTGAAACAATCTCGTTGAGAGCACTTAGATGATCTGAGATTTTCGTACTCGTGTCCATGCCCAATAAATGAAATTGCTCCTTCAGGTACAACCGATTTGAGAGACTCTTCATTTGATATAGTTCTTCTAACTTTTCCCACAGTTCCTTTACAGCAGATATCCCATGAATATTTGCAAGAACATTTTTAGCAAAACAGAGACGTATCGTGCTTGCAGCCTTCAAATCTAATTCCTCCCAATCATCATCGCTCATACTGGATCCAGTTTCCTTGTCAGAACTCTGGGTTGGTTTTCCTTTCAAAGCCTTGTGCAGTCCAACTTGAATCAATAAATCTCTGACCTATACTTGCCACAAGCCAAAATTGATTCTCCTGTCATATTTCTCCACGTCATATTTCAACGACATATTTTTCTGTTGCTCAAATACTCTGAACCACCTGACGCTCTGATACCACTTGTTGGGAAATTGGAAATTTACGCCAATTTCCTTTCTTTCTATTGCCCGCATCATCTTTTGTTGTTCAGAAAAATATCAGCTAACAAAGAAAATAAATAATATAACACACAATTGGACCGTCAAAACTTTTCCACTATATGAAAAGTTGTTACAATCATATAGAATTTTCACTCACCAACCCGATCCCAAAGTATTACAGAGAAAAAAAATACTTCAATAGCCTAGAACCCTTTTTCTTCTCTCCAAGCTATAATATTTTCTCTCAAGGATGGGATAACTAAAAGAGGAGAGGAGCCATCTATTTATAGAGGCCAAAGGAGGTGGAAGTAGAGACTTCAATTCCAAATTCTCTTCCTNGGCCAAAGGAGGTGGAAGAAAGCAGGTGGAAGTAGAGACTTCAATTCCAAATTTTCTTCCTTCCTTGACTTCTCAAATCTTAACCAAGAAGAAAGCATGCCAATTATCCTTTAAGTCACCAACATTGACTAAATAGTATGGCAACTCGAGCTACTGAAGATGTGTGAGTCTATACAAAGTCCCCGTCGGTATCATGATTAAGTTGCTATTTATCAAAGATAGGCGTTTGAGGTTGGTTAAGCTTTCCATACCTCGGGGAATTTTTTCAAGATAAGTATATGAGAGGTCCAAATGTTTCAATACCTTGGGCTTTTCCAATGATGGCACTAATTTCAATTTCTCACAAGCTACGAGGAATAATGCATTAAGTTTTTCCAAGTCTGATATGGAATTTGGCAAGCTCTCAATATCAGTTCCACTTAAATCGAGAGTGCGTAACCCACACATATGCATTATTGCTCGGAAGCTTCTTGCTCGGAAAGTGTGTTCACTTTTATAATCTTTTTGCAGCACATACTACGACAAACTTCTTCCGATCGACTTGTTATGACCAACTTGCATCCATCCCTTTTAGAAGGAATGCCTATCTTCTCTGCATCAATTCGTTTCCAAACATCATCCAGTATAAGCACAAATCTCTCCATTTTCTGGAATTCCCGGAAGAGTTTAGCTGCCCTTCTGCCCTCATCATTCTCGCATGTTATATTTAGATTCAGTAATTCGGCAATGTCACTTTGCAATTTGGAAATGTTGAACTCGTGAGAGACGGTGACCCAATAAACATGACCCGAGAATGTGGATTCCTTCAAGAGCTTATCATGAACACGCCTTGCCAGAGTCGTCTTGCCTACTCCCCCCATTCCGTAAATGCCAATGCTTACGACGTTGACATCCATTAATGATGTCAAAATGTCATCTACATTTTGTCGAAATGCTTGGCCATTCGGTACGGGTATTAACAATATCGGGTTAATACTCTCATCAACCTCAAGAAAAAGCCCGCTAGGAAATTCACTTTGGGCAACAAGTTCCGTCACTTCCTCGGTCATTCTTTCAAGCTGTTCAGCCAACTTTTATCGTTTGAAAACATGATAAAATCTGCTGCTTTGTTGTACTCGTTCAGGGGCGGAGCCCAATGAGGTCCAGTGTGGGCACAGGCCCACACTGAACTTCTGGCCTCATAATTTTTTTTAGTTATATATGATAACTTCCAACCCAAGAGTTAGGCCCAATCTACTACCCAATGTCCCAGCCCAATCCAAAAAATTTAAAACATTAGTTAATAGCCTTCGCGTCTGTTCTCCTCTAGCCTCCATTTCAATTCGCATTTCGTAGCCTCCGCCTCTGCTCTCCCGCTCCGCCTCTACTCTCATCCGCCTCCACCTATGAGGCGTCGTTGTGCCTGGATTTTGATCAGAAAGTGAACGCTGCCAACAGGCTCGCAAGCAAAGCAAGCACCAGAGGGTTCTTCTCACTAACTCCGCCAATTAGATGCCCAAGTGCGTGCAACATCTGTCAGGTATTTGATGTTTGAGCTAGGTATGCCCTATGAGTGTTTTCGTATTTTCTTTAGGATCTGCCATTCTGCTTGAGACTTTTTTTTTTTAATACTACATTCTGGTGATAATTTTGAATTGAAATTTGGGTATTGTTGAATTGAAATTGTTGAAATATGGGTTGAAATTCCTGAAATTTGGGTATTGTTGAGTTGGAATTGCTGAAATTTGGGTATTGTTGAATTGAAATTGTTGAAATTTGGGTATTGTTGAAATCTCATTAACCACTTTTCCAACCCCTCGTGTGGGTTTTGGACCAAATCCAATAGCTTTTATTTATTTATTTATTTATTTTTCATGTTTTGACATATTTGCATCTCAAGAGAAAAGGCCACAACCACAAATCGAGATAAAAACAGGATGTATGCCTTTGTTCTTTCCAGTTTTGTTATT